GGGTTCCACCCCCATCCCTTCCAGCTTGTCTTTAAGAATTGGGGGTTGGATGCTGTTAAATGCACTTAAAATGTCTCGTCTCGTCGTCTCCCGCTTATCCGGATCCGGGTCGCGGGGGCAGCAGCCTCAGCAAAGAGGTCCAGATGGCCCTCTCCCCAGCCACTTCCACCAGCTCCTCCGGGAGAACCCCGAGGCGTTCCAAGGCAAGCCGAGAGATATAATCCCTCCAGCGTGTCCTTGGTCGGCCCCGCGGCCTTCTCCCGGTGGGACATGCCCGAAACACCTCCCCGGGGAGGCGTCCAGGAGGCATCCTCACCAGATGCCTGAACCACCTCAACTGGCTCCTCTCGACACGGAGGAGCAGCGGTTCTACTCCGAGCTCCTCCCGGATGACCGAGCTCCTCACCCTATCTCTAAGGCTGAGCCCGGCCACCCTGCGGAGGAAACTCATTTCGGTCGCTTGTATTCGCGATCTTGTTCCACAGGTGAGGATTGGAACGTAGATCAACCGGTAAATCGAGAGCTTCGCCTTCTGGCTTAGCTCCCTCTTCCCTACAATGGACCGGTTTAGCGCCCGCATCACTGCTGACGCCTCCTTGAACCGTCACCTTACCGTGGTGGAGGAGTTTGAGAGCCCTAATGACCCTAGGAGCTATGTTGTCGGGGGCATTTTGCTCCTGGAAGGGTCTCCCAAGGCAGATTGGTCCCAGGTGAAGGGCCAGACGAAGAACAGTTCAGAAGATCCTAATGATAAAAAATATCAAGAACCCGAGTACCCGGCCCGGAGGGACACCGGGGCCCCGCCCTGGAGCCAGGCCTGGGGTTGGGGCCCGTGGGCGAGCGCCTGGTGGCCAGGCCTTGGCCCATGGGGCCCAGCCCGAACCAGCTACATGGGTTCGTCTCCCAGTGGGCTCACCACCTGCAGGAAGAGTCAGCGGGATCCGGTGCAGTGTGGATTGGGCAGCAGACCAAGGCGGGGGCCTTGGCGGTCCGATCCTCGGTTACGGAAACTGGTTTTTGGAACACACTTAAAATGTCAAAGAACATAATTCTCATGTAACCACCTGGCTCATCCAAGTAAGAAACGGCCCGGTGGAGCATGTAAAGGACGGCATCATCCACTTCAGGATGTTCCTTTTAGGCAAACTGTAGGAGGTCAAGTGCATTTTCAACCTGTGGCCTCAGTAGGTGGAGAAGCAGCTGTGTCAGGGTCTTCATGATTTGTGATGTAAGGGCCACTGGTAATTTAGGTACCGGAACAATACATGATGTTTTCCAGAGGACCGGGACCCTCCCTATTTGTAGACCTAAGTTGAAGATCCTCTGGAGAGGCTCAGCCAGCTGGGCTGCACAATCCTTTAACAGCCTCGGACACACACCATGTTGCCCTGTTGCTTTTCCAGGGTGTAGCCTCTTGAGCACCGCCCTCACCTCTTACGCTGTAAAGGACAGGAGACTTGACCCAAATGTGGAGGGAGTTGCAGCTGCAGTGTCAGGTTGTGAAGGAGATGCCGTAAGAGAAGCTGCAGCTGAAGCAGTGGGACAGAGAACAGGTGAGGCTGTGTCAAACCTGTTCTAGAACAGGTTGGCCTTTACCTGATGTTGCCTTGCTGTTCTCTATATAGCCAGTGATGATCCTCATCCCTTTCTCTCTGGTGTTGTTGTGCTGCAGCTTCCTCTCTGCTTTCCTTTTGTAGTCCTCCTTCGCCTGCTTTAATCTCCTCTTCAGCTCATGTTGGACACACCTGAGCTTCTCCATGTCTCCATCCCAAAAGGCCTATTTTTTTTGGTTGAGGAGGGTCTTGATGTTACTGGTGATCCAGGGTTTGTTGATTGGAAAGCAGTGTACAGTCCTTGTTGGTATTACAGTGTCCATCCAGAAGTTAATGTAGTCTGTGGTACATTCAACCGTTCTATCAAGGTCAGGGTCCTTGCTGTTATTATTTTACTGTGACTCCAAAGCACAAAAAGTACAATTCAGTCTGTGCACTCAAAGCAGTCCTTTAGAGACTCACTGGCCTCCAGGATCCAGTTCCTGAATGAGCGGGTGGTTGCAGCCTGCCTCAGTACACAGGGTTTGTAGGAAGGCTGAAGAAAAAACAGATTATGATCTGATCTGCCAAACGGTGGTAGATCTGAAGAAGTGTAAGCCTCCTTGAAGTTTGCATACAACAGATCAAGTGTCTTATTTTCCCTTGTGGGACACTCAACATACTGAGTGAAGCCAGTCAGGTGAGAGGTGAGATTTACATGGTTAAAATCACTTGATATTGCAATGAGNTTCCTCTCTGCTTTCCTTTTGTAGTCCTCCTTCGCCTGCTTTAATCTCCTCTTCAGCTCATGTTGGACACACCTGAGCTTCTCCATGTCTCCATCCCAAAAGGCCTATTTTTTTTGGTTGAGGAGGGTCTTGATGTTACTGGTGATCCAGGGTTTGTTGATTGGAAAGCAGTGTACAGTCCTTGTTGGTATTACAGTGTCCATCCAGAAGTTAATGTAGTCTGTGGTACATTCAACCGTTCTATCAAGGTCAGGGTCCTTGCTGTTATTATTTTACTGTGACTCCAAAGCACAAAAAGTACAATTCAGTCTGTGCACTCAAAGCAGTCCTTTAGAGACTCACTGGCCTCCAGGATCCAGTTCCTGAATGAGCGGGTGGTTGCAGCCTGCCTCAGTACACAGGGTTTGTAGGAAGGCTGAAGAAAAAACAGATTATGATCTGATCTGCCAAACGGTGGTAGATCTGAAGAAGTGTAAGCCTCCTTGAAGTTTGCATACAACAGATCAAGTGTCTTATTTTCCCTTGTGGGACACTCAACATACTGAGTGAAGCCAGTCAGGTGAGAGGTGAGATTTACATGGTTAAAATCACTTGATATTGCAATGAGTGCATCAGGGTGCTGGGTCTGTACTCTCCCAACAGTCTCGAGATGTCACATGCGACTACAAGGCTTTGCTCGTGGTTGAATGTAAACAACAATGGCGACGATGTGTGAGAACTCCCTCGGTACATAGTACAGTCTAAGACCAACTGCCAACCATTCAATATCCCAACAGCATATCTTCTCCTTAACTGTGATATGACTAGGGTTGCACCATCTATTGCTCACACTGGTTCTACAACAGTCTTCCAACTTTATTCTTTCCACTTGGTCTGGCGTCTTTGTCCACTCGTACTGCAGTGAAGCCGGGGAAATCCACACAACATATTGTCGTTTAACCAGGTTTCCATAAAACCCATGAGACTACACTCACTACACTATACTCACTGGTTCTTCACAAGATATTGCAAAAGACTGGTCAGATGCTTCAACTCAACGTATTGTTTCAAATTCGTTGCCGACGACTGCCTAAAAATTGGGGCTAGGCAATTAACTGAAAAAGTATCAAAACTGATATTTAGAATCTTTCACAACTTAATTTTGCTGATGTCGGTTAATTTGGTTAATACTTTCTTCAATGCATGCGTTCATGAACTGTCCCGTTATAACATAAAACCTCATGTTCAGTCATGTGTGTCTGCCCCACCCGACTAATGTTAGACTACTCCTGGTGTTTTGAGCCCCTAAAATGGAGACTTTTGGAAATGCTGCTGGACCCATTTTAGTATGAAAACGCTGGGGTTACACTGTAGTGGCGATCAGTGTAGTCCCTGGATAGGTAGAAATGGAGACTTTTGGAAACAATGACACAGACACCTGTCCTCACCTCCTGCTTGGGTCACAACTACCAGACAGTGGTGAATGCAACATGGAAAGCAACCCAAGGTAGCACCACCGTTTTGTTTAATCATTTAGAACTCAATCACATTACCAAATATGAAGAGTGCCCTGCTCTGAAAAAGAGAGAGAGGGATACGTGCCAAAGAAATCATTCATTAAACGTAATCAAGGTAAAAGTTTGAAATAATCCCTATATTAGCCCTAATAAAAACATGAGATATTTTCCATTGGAATTTGTAATGATTTGTCAATTCACTGAGCATTCGCTTAATTCCTTCTGTAACTCACCAGCAGATGGTAACCAGTGAACCTCTCTGCTCCTCAGGGTCGTATGTAAACAGTGTTATGAAATCACAATAAAAACAAGATAAAGTTGGTGGACTGACTTTAATTGGAAAGTTTGCAAGTGTTCCAAAAATGATATACAAACAGATTTCAAATTATTATGAAGGGCAATTAAATTATTAATGATGTATAAATAACATATTTTACAGATCAGATTTAGATTTTTAATTTGAATTAATAATTAGAATTTTAGACAGCAGAGGTCAAACTCTGCTCCTCCGTGACATTCTTGTGTAGCATGATTGTCAAGCGTATTGTCATGAAGGGCAAATTCTTTAGTTTCGATTTAATATACACCATAAAATCTCACTCACCTCACCTCATCATAGCAAAATTATTAATGAGGTATACATTACATGAAATATAGCCTATAATAATGATGATGTTGAGTTTTAGAGAGATAAAATGCATGTAATTATTGATTTTACAGTTCTTTTCAGCCATTGTTCAAGTAGTCCAGTGCCAGGGCTTCTGGTACAAACACAGACTGACAACAGAGAAAACATGTGTTGACAGAGTAAACAAATTAGATAGCGTCTGATTTCGTAAAGCTGACGATTTATACCATGAAGCAAAGAAGCATGCTGCCTTAAAATACAAAAGCCAACATCAACAACCCTTATCCTTCATCCTAATTAAATTCATGCTTGAAGCAATATAGACTCAACAGCATGAACATGTGATGCATAAAGGACAATTAAATAAAATGCTGCATGTTCTATCTAAAGCAATAACTGTGCTGCATTATGTATAATAACTTGATGACTGATGGCTGCCAAGCACCTCACTGATTATCATTACTCATTGCAATGTCATGTAGGACCTGCTGACTTGTTATTCACAAGCACACACCCATTGAACCCAGTTCAACATCCATGCTTGTCAAAGATAAACACTTGCACACAAACAGTGACTAACTGTGATTCTAATTTGTCAAATAGCATTTCTTTTATACAAATCAAAGGAGACATAGTTTTTCAGTGCATTAAAAAAAACTTCATCTCTGAGGCCATAAATGAGAGGACTCAGACATCTTGGTGCAAGAAAAAACATTATGTAGTTAACATACCTGACATTATTGAATAAAATAAAATTAATATGAAGGAAAGGAGCCTCAATGAATGGGCTCCACAGCTGGATGAGACAGAGCAGCAGCTGAAAACCATGAAGAACCACTGTTCTGAGCCCTTTCTTTGATGACTTTTTATCCTCTCCTGATGCCGCTTTGGCCACTTTCATTATTTTAACATAACAGAAAACAAGGATGATGCACATAATCAAAAACTGGAATTGATATATAGCTGACCGAAGATGTTGCTGCCACATGTAAAATATAAACACCTCCACTGAACATATCTGATATTGTTTGTAAAAGCTCAGGGATGCTGATACAAAGAAGGTGGAGAGAATAACAATGCAGGGCACAGAGCTGAGGCAATGGATGATAAGGATGCAGTGAATAGTATTGCGTGTGGAGCACAGCTCTCCATGGCGCAGGGGCATGCAAATGGCCACATTGCGCTCCAGGGTCATTGCTGTCAGAGTAACTGGTGTGACTGTAACATACACAAGTACCACAACAGAGATAATGATACACAACCAAACTTGCATGGCAACACGAAAATAGTTGAAGATGAGAAGGATATTAGACATGAATAACAAGAAACTATCTGAAAGTAATGTAACAGCAAATAGGATGTAGCGTGTAGTTGTGTAGAAGCACTCTTTCTTAAAAAAGGTGACAATGAGCAACAAGTTAATGCAGAGAAAAATCATCACCAGGATCTGCACAATAATGACCTGGTAATTTATCTGCTGCTGCAAGGACTCACCACCAGGCAGTGAATTGTTATCTGCCATATATCTGTTTTCTAAGCCACTGTAAAAAAGTCCATGAATGTGTCATTATTAAAAGAAAATTAGATTTTTTTTTAATACAAAATGATGATCTTCTCTTAAGTGATATGATGGTGGATTAAATACAGCAGTTTCCCAAACCCTAAATGCTGCTCCAGAGACTAATATTGTCTACTGAGCTCTGTGCAAGTCTGTGTATGATATTTTAAAGGCTAGAACATCCAAAAATAGCACAAAGCCTCTTTCATTGGTTGTCCATAGTTGGATAGATGGGGTGCTACAGTGACATCAGAAGGTGTGCGCCTTAAAATTTTCTTCCAATAGAATATTATTATTCAATAGGTCCTTTTTTCTCAAAATTATTCATCACAAGTTGTGACTAAGAGTAAAGGCTTTGGTATGTCTTTTATTTAAATGTGATTGGACACACTTTTGCAAAGCAGAATTCTATCATGATACATCTGGCTTACTCTTATGAAGGGTTTAATGGCATTACAAACCAACATGCCCCCTTTTGTAAATTCACGGTGAAAGGAAAATCCACAGGTTTTCACCTGAATTATCTTGTCTACTTAAAAGGGCATTAGATAAGATCCCAAAATTGGTTGTTTTTAGCACCATTGTGGCAGTGAAGTGAAGCGCAGTCAGCATTCTGTTGCTCGCTCTCATGGTCATGCTCGTATTCCTTGGGCGTGAGTGCACATCGACCAAAACAGTGACACTGCATGAGATTGACCGGCATCATGTTGACAGATGAGGTAAGTGAAGTTACACTGTTTTTACAGTTTGACAAACGTTATATTTATTTGAAATTGTGTTTATAACATCGTTATTAGCTTGTTGGCTAGCACAATATGATGTAGGGTTATTTATTTTAAACTAATCAATTCTTGCATGATACATTCATATGAGACGTCGGCGTTGGCTTGCTAGTCAACTTTATCAATGGCTGTTTCGTCTAGCTTTCAGCATGAGCTTCAGCAGTGTGAGCACAGCTGAATTTGCTGGATGCTAACGCTAACATTTAGTGAACTAGTTAGATGGTAGCCTAATTATAGAGTTGCCACACTTCATTATTTATGCAAGTTTCAATTTCAACTCTCATTTAGCTGAATAGATGCGCTAATGTTTCAGCGTAATACAATAGACTTACTTTCAACTAACTGTACTGAATGGTCTCGGAGTTTGTTGAGACAACGACAATCGTAAACTGACGTCAGTTATAACAGTCAGTCAATCAAATGCTATTCATGTAGCCCAAATTCACAAAAAATTCTTCTGAGGTGGCTTTACAACCTGTGCAGGTGATGACAGAGTTACAGGTTATGAAAAAAACATCCTGTAACATAGTCTAGTTTCTACTAGTTTACTTTGTTGTAACCTAAAAATACACTTACAATGTTTATTTTACTGTTACTGTCAATCATGCATCAAATAGAGAGGTGCTGCCTCAAGTGAGGGTTTGAGTATCTCGGGGTATTGTTCATGAGTGACCGTAAAATAGAGCATGAGGTTGACAGATTGGTACAGCATCTGCAGTCAGTGGCAACAACGGGACTATATTTCATAGTATGCACAAGTACCGCCTATTCGCTACCTTTAGGTTTCCCCACACGCACATATGTCTACTCATCAAGCCAGAGAGCAAGAGAGAGAGAGTGAGAGAGAGGGAGAGAGAGACGTTGATTCGTGTATTTTACTGCTAAAGTTATGACAACACTATAATAAAACTACCACATTAATTTCAAAGACCAACCAACAGGCCTGAAAAACACCTACAGCAGCGAAATAACAGGCTACAATATACTAGTAGGGCAGGGGGGAGATCTCCAATAGTACAGAAACAAGGTTATTGACCCACACAAACGTCGTGACTATGAGATGCATCTGCGGAACGTTGTGCAAGAACCAATGTGACCTTAAAAACCATCAGGCCAGAATGAAATGAAAGGAGCAGGAGAACGAGGTGCAGTGCTCAGGCCCTGAGCCTGGTGAGACACAGGAGGAGCACGGCCAGGAGGCAACCCACAGAGCCCAGTCCTTCCATGCACCAGAGCCTGCTAACCATTGCAGAATAGTTAAACAGCAACGGATTAAGTGGCCTCCAGCCAGCAACCGCAGTGCATTGCTGCAGTTTGACAAAGACTAGCCAACATTATTCAAGCTACAGCCAAAGGAGATGCAGACAGTTGACTGCAAACAATGACTTCCATCATTGTCAGCTACGGCTCTGAAAGGTTCGGCCACACTAAGAAAGGTAACACCAAACCAACCACCTACACCATGAAACACAGGGCCACCAGACTACATCATCTCCAGCAGGAGCTTTGAACCCTCAAAAGCCAATACAAGAAATCCATGGAAGAGGAGAAGCAAGCCTTAGCTGACCTACGAAACACCCCAATGAAAGGGTTAAAGACCCTCCGCAGAGAAGAGTGGCACAGGAGAAGAAGAAGAGAGAGAGTCAGGAAATGGGCTGCTTTCATTGCTTATCCCTTTGGCTTTACCAGCTGCTAGGGGACAAACGTAGTGTCCGCTTTGTGTGCTCAAAAGATGAAGTAAATTGTTTCCTCCATGATACTCTGAGCAACCCGATGAGGGATCAAGATCTCAAACCCAATGATGCCCTCATCAGTCCAGCCCCCCCAAAAACTGAGTTCAATCTGAGGGAGCCAAGTCTAAAGGAGGTTGAGGAGGTCATTAAGGCAGCATGCTCAGCCTCTTCCCCAGGTCCTAGTGACGTACCCTACACTGTTTACAAGCACGTTGCAAAGCTCCTCCTACACCAATGGAAGATGTTGAAGGTCATATGGCGAAGGGGGTTGCTGACCAGTGGATGTGTGCGGAGAGATGGTGGATTGCCAAAGAGGAAAACTCCAAGAGCCTCAGTCAGTTTCGGTCAATCTGGCTGCTGAGTGTTGAGGGAAAGTGTTGAGTGTTTTCAGCATTGTCTCCCGAAGAGGCAACCTTGTCGTGCTATGGTTGGATGAGACCACTGCTTATGGGTCCATACCGCACCGACTGGTTGAGCTTGCACTACACCGCCACCATGTTCCCAGAAGGACAAGGATCTGATCCTGGATTACTATGATAATTTCAGGTTGAGTGTCACATATGGGTCACAAACATCAGACTGGCTTGAAAAAGGATTAATAATGGGCTGTACCATCTCTGTTCTTCTTTCTGCCCTAGTCATGAACATGGTAGCCAAGTTAGCCGAAGATCAGTGGTTTTCTCCCCAAGTGGATGGGCTTCCCCCACAGCCTCAGCAACGCAGCTCTGTATGGGACCAATAACATTTTGCAGCTCCCATTCAGTGGTCTCATTGGTTTATGGATGCATGCACAAGAGAAGCCGTGCAGTACAGGGACTCCAGGGACCAGAGGGTGTCATCAGTGGGCATTGAGGTGAAGACAGGGCAGAAATGGAGGGCAGAGAAAGCATTGGAGGTGGCAGAGTCACTCTTAAGGCAAAAAGCGCTGGTGAAAGTGAAGTGCATTAAAGTTAATTTGGCATCAACCCGCAAGAGACGCCGGCAGTTAACACATCTACCTACAACCGCCTGCAGAGAAGCCTACCAGAAATCAAGAATTCCCAAGACCTCTCCTCCTCTCCTGGCAAACTCCACCAGAGCTGAACCGCTTAGACACCGGCAGAATCCGTCACTGCGATAACGGGACACGGCCTCCGGGAGAATCTAACTAGATCCTGCATCTCCAGGGTTACCACGGCAACCTCAGCCACCTGGATTCCAGCCAAGGGTCTCCAGCTAGAGCACAACTCACAGTAGGCCAGTCTTAACCTTCTGCTCATTAATGGGTTGTTGTCCTAATATCATAATATTTAATTATCAAATCTCATTTGTAGATGTAGTATCATTAGCTGTATAGCCATAGTGTATAGCCATAAAATATTCTCTGCCACCATTGCCAACTCATCACACTGCTCATTTCATTATTATTTTCATCTTTATGATTATTACACATTGCATTTTCTCTGTTGATAATAGCTTAGTTAATAAACTTAAGTTATTTAACCCCGAGGACTTTAATTAATTTTAAAGTTATTATTTACTATTAATATTTCTAATATTAATATTTTCTTAATTTATGATATCCAATAAATTCATAGACAACCTAAATTCAACATATTTGGTGTCCAGCTCATGAGGTAGAGCTCAGAACCAACACCATTTAGAAAAAATATTGTGTTTACTCAATTGGTGAAACAGTTACTGTGTTTCTATAGAAAAATACAATTTTGCTTTGACGGAGAAAATAAGGCTCGTAGGTTTAATGTTTAATGTGTAAGGTATGTGTTTTATTGTTTACCCAAGTATTGGCTAAGCTGGTAAGTTGAAGTCTAATTGCATGTATGATATTTTTATTGTGTATGATAAGCACACTTTGTTAGAACAATATAATTCTAATATCATTGAGAGTTTGGAAGTGGAACAAATAATTTTCAATATTTTAAGTATTTGTATTCAGTCTACATTTAACTCACTGTGATTCATCTCATACAAGTATCATCTCTTTGGCTGACAGAAAGCAAAATTGGTTTATATTGAGTCAGATTAGTATATATAAATAGTTTTCCACTCAAAGGGGTAAAAGCAGGTAAAGAAACATATTACAGAACACCTTACTGTGCTTTCTCTGAGCTGTGGCTTTTAAAATAAATTTCCTATCATGTTTGAATAAAGTCACATAAGTCGGAATGACAAAAACACTTCTGCTTGGTGAAGTCTTGATGTTACATACTCCATTTCTGAAAAGGGCTTATACCTTATGTGCCTTGTTTAGCCTAATAGACTCCTTCAAGTCTGTGCAGCCACCTCAGCAATGGAGGCTTTGAACAATGATAACAAATACATGGTATAGGAATAATAAAGTCCACCATTTCACAAGTATGTCATATTTTTTGATAGGTGTAAATGCTACAATGATGTATAATCAATATTATATATAACAACAAGAACTGCAACAACAGCAACAACCTGAAAAACATAATCACCTCAAATGAGCAATCATGCACAAATACAACAACAGTGCTGTCATTTAAATAGCAGTGAAATCATAGCATGCTTATAGTAATAAACCAGTTAAATAAAAAAAGTTAACAACAGACATGCTCAAATATATCTTTTAAACAAACCACAAAAGACGTCATTTTTCAGTACATGAAAAAATGTTTCATCCCTGAGGCCATAAATGAGAGGACTCAGACATCTTGGAGCAAGATTAAACATTATGTAGTTAAAAAACCTGACATTAATGAATAACCTGAAATTCATTTGAAGTACAGCAGTTTCTATAAATGGGCCCCACAGCTGCATAAGACATAGCAGCAGCTGAAAACCATGAAGAGCCACTGTTCTCAGCCCTTTCCTTGTTGACTTTTTATCATCTCCTGATGCAGCTTTGGCCACTTTCATTATTTTAACATAGGAGAAAACAATGATGATGCACATTATCAAGAAGTAAAACTGATGCACAGCTGACCTAATATGATCCTGCCATCTGTACAAAATGAACATCTCCACAGAACATATTCTGTAATGCTTGTAAAAGCTAAAAGGAGCTGATGCAAAGAAGGGTAAGAGAACAACAATGCAGGGCACAGAGCTGAGGCCATGGATGATGAGGATACAGTGCATAGTGCTGCGTGTTGAGCTCAGCTCTCCATGGCGCAGGGGCATACAAATAGCCACGTGACGCTCCAGGGTCATTGCTGTCAGAGTAACTGGTGTGACTGTAACATACAGAAGCACCACAACAGAGATATTGATACACAACCACACTTGCAGGGTAAAGTGAAAATAGGCAAAGATGAAGAGGATATCAGACATGAACAATAGCAAGCTATCGGACAGTAGAGTAACAGCAAATAAGATGTAGCGAGCAGTTGTGTAGAAGCACTCCTTTTTGAAAAAGGTTATGATGAGCAACAGGTTGATGCAGAGAAAAATCATCACCAGGATCTGCACAATAATAACCCGGTCATTGATCTGCCGCAGTGAGAAACCACCTCCAACCAATGAGTTGTTATCTGCCATCACTTTTCTAAATAAATGCACAAGTTTTTGCATTTTTGTGAAATGTTAAATTGTCAATATTAAATGTGTTTGTCAAAGAAAAATTTGATTCTTTTAACAAAAGTACAAAAGTCAGGCTTCTCTGTTGATCTTTACCAGACCTTCCCTGTAGTGGCATAGCATTGAGGAAGATATTTCAAAGACATATGTTGAGGTCCTTGCAGTGCTCTGAGAGAGGGTTGTGAATTGAGACTTTATAGGAGTGAAACTTTGCTCATTAAAGTGTAATCATACAGGGTTTTCCCTGGCCGAACTGGAGAGGGTGGGGCATGGTTGGGTGTGTGTGTGTGTGAGTGTGTGTGTGTGTGTGTGTGTGTGTGTGTGTGTGTGTGTGTGTGTGTGTGTAATCATTAGCTGTATAGCATAGTGTATAGCCATAAAATATCTCTTGCCACCATTGCCAACTCATCACACTGCTCATTTCATTATTATTTTCATCTTTATGATTATTACACATTGCATTTTCTCTGTTGATAATAGCTTAGTTAATAAACTTAAGTTATTTAACCCCGAGGACTTAATTAATTTTAAAGTTATTATTTACTATTAATATTTCTAATATTATATTTTCTTAATTTATGATATCCATAAATTCATAGACAACCTAAATTCAACATATTTGGTGTCCAGCTCATAGGTAGAAGCTCAGAACCAACACCATTTAGAAAAAATATTGTGTTTACTCAATTGGGGAACATTACTGTGTTTCTATAGAAAAATACAATTTTGCTTTGACGAGAAAATAAGGCTCGTAGGTTTAATGTTTAATGTGTAAGGTATGTTGTTTATTGTTTACCCAAGTATTGGCTAAGCTGGTAAGTTGAAGTCTAATTGCATGTATGTATTTTTATTGTGTATGATAAGCACACTTTGTTAGAACAATATAATTCTAATATCATTGAGAGTTTGGAAGTGGAACAAATAATTTTCAATATTTAAGTATTTGTATTCAGTCTACATATTAACTCACTGTGATTCATCTCATACAAGTATCATCTCTTTGGCTGACAGAAAGCAAAATTGGTTATATTGAGTCAGATTAGTATATATAAAATAGTTTTCCACTCAAAGGGGTAAAAGCAGGTAAAGAAACATATTACAGAACACCTTACTGTGCTTTCTCTGAGCTGTGGCTTTAAATAAATTTCCTATCATGTTTGAATAAAGTCACATAAGTCGGAATGACAAAAACACTCTCTGCTTGGTGAAGTCTTGATGTTTACATACTCCATTTCTGAAAGGGCTTATACCTTATTGTGCCTTGTTTAGCCTAATAGACTCCTTCAAGTCTGTGCAGCCACCTCAGCAATGGAGGCTTTGAACAATGATAACAAATACATGGTATAGGAATAATAAAGTCCACCATTTCACAAGTATGTCATATTTTTTGATAGGTGTAAATGCTACAATGATGTATAATCAATATTATATATCAACAACAAGAACTGCAACAACAGCAACAACCTGAAAAACATAATCACCTCAAATGAGCAATCATGCACAAATACAACAACATGCTGTCATTTAAATAGCAGTGAAATCATAGCATGCTTATAGTAATAAACCAGTTTAAATAAAAAAAGTTAACAACAGACATGCTCAAATATATCTTTTAAACAAACCCACAAAAGACGTCATTTTTCAGTACATGAAAAAAATGTTTCATCCCTGAGGCCATAAATGAGAGGACTCAGACATCTTGGAGCAAGATTAAAACATATGTAGTTAAAAAACCTGACATTAATGAATAACCTGAAATTCATTTGAAGTACAGCAGTTTCTATAAATGGGCCCCACAGCTGCATAAGACATAGCAGCAGCTGAAAACCATGAAGAGCACTGTTCTCAGCCCTTTCCTTTTGACTTTTTATCATCTTCCTGATGCAGCTTTGGCCACTTTCATTATTTTTAACATAGGAGAAAACAATGATGATGCACATCATCAAGAAGTAAAACTGATGCACAGCTGACCTAATATGATCCTGCCATCTGTACAAATGAACATCTCACAGAACATATTCTGTAATGCTTGTAAAAGCTAAAAGGAGCTGATGCAAAGAAGGGTAAGAGAACAACAATGCAGGGCACAGAGCTGAGCCATGGATGATGAGGATACGGTGCATAGTGCTGCGTGTGGAGCACAGCTCTCCATGGCGCAGGGGCATACAAATAGCCACGTGACGCTCCAGGGTCATTGCTGTCAGAGTAACTGGTGTGACTGTAACATACAGAAGACCACAACAGAGATATTGATACACAACCACACTTGCAGGTAAAGTGAAAATAGGCAAAGATGAAGGGATATCAGACATGAACAATAGCAAAGCTATCGGACAGTAGAGTAACAGCAAATAAGATGTAGCGAGCAGTTGTGTAGAAGCACTCCTTTTTGAAAAAGGATGATGAGCAACAAGTTGATGCAGAAGAAAAATCATCACCAGGATCTGCACAATAATAACCCGGTCATTGATCTGCCGCAGTGAGAAAACCACCTCCAACCAATGAGTTGTTATCTGCCATCACTTTTCTAAATAAATGCACAAGTTTTTGCATTTTTGTGAAATGTTAAATTGTCAATATTAAATGTGTTTGTCAAAGAAAAATTTGATTCTTTTAACAAAAGTACAAAAGTCAGGCTTCTCTGTTGATCTTTACCAGACCTTCCCTGTAGTGGCATAGCATTGAGGAAGATATTCAAAGACATATGTTGAGGTCCTTGCAGTGCTCTAGAAGAGGGTTGTGAATTGAGACTTTATAGGAGTGAAACTTTGCTCATTAAAGTGTAATCATACAGGGTTTCCCTGGCCGAACTGGAGAGGGTGGGCATGGTTGGGTGTGTGTTGTGTGTGAGTGTGTGTGTGTGTGTGTGTGTGTGTGTGTGTGTGTGTGTGTGTGTGTGTGTTGGGGGGTTTCGGGTTCTCAAAAGCCAGCTTTGCGAACAATGAATAAAGAGTGATGTAAAATCAAGTAAACGTCGGCTTTAATACCCTCGTTACTTGACAAGACAGACTTGGTACTCTCGCCTTGACTCCTCTCTCACGCTCTGATCCTCTCCTTCACTGGCACCTTCCACTTGTGGCTGAGAACTAGGCCTACTTCCTGTCCTGACAAATTAACCATATCTTGTCAGTAACATGAATTAACATTTTTTCCCATATTAGAAGAAACTAATGATGTCTGCACTCTGCACTGTTTCACCTGTCCTCGCGATTCTTATACTCGCAAACTCTCTTTTTGAAATAATCTGTGATTTGAGACATATCGGCAACAAAAACGTACGTGATGGGATGTAACGTTAATTTAGGGAAACTTTTCAAGAAGCTGGGTGTGCTTGAGTGTAAAAAGAGATAATATTCACTTGTTTGATTACCCGCAAAATCAGGTCACCGCCTCCTTCTGCAAGCAGAAAAATCCACGCGTTCGTATTCTTCTTCTTTGGCAATTTTCAGATAGCTCTGCCTGATGCACAGATTAAATACAGCGCCACTACATTGCCGTGGTGGCGTACAGCCACAACTGCAGTTACAACCATCAAATCCACAGAGTACTGAGAAAACAAGTAGGCCTACTAGAAGGCGCCGCCTTGCAATTCTCCATCAGGAAAAACCCTGTCATTGCTACACTCTGCTAGACTCCCTCAGAGCTATCTGTAGATGAATCCAGGTGTTAAGCAGATGTAAACAACCCACCATTACAGGTAGAATCTCACTTATTAAACCACTGGCAATACAACAATGTTTGTAAAGGAATTACTTTTTAACCTCCCTTGCCAAGAAATGTTTCCCATTAATTTTGAAAAAATATAGAAATCAAGAACCATTGAAAGCAACAACAGATAACAGCTGTCGGCAGTTCACAAACAATAACGGCAAACATTTCAAGAACATGGACATTAGATGACATGTTGTTAATATAAAGTTACCAACTGAAACGCACTCTGAATTCTGTGTACAGATCCAGATGCCGCTCTTTGAACTGCTTAGATAAATTTCAAGTGTTTCCGACATCTACGGTACTGTAGAAAGTACTGTCACATTTTCAGAATTTTGACATCGGCTTGGTACCGAAAGTATCAGTTCTCAAATCAGTCTTAGCCACTGGTGAGGTTCACGTGTGCTAAGGCAGAGAATTCATTATTTAGGGGTGCTACAGAATAACACGTTGGTAATTGAAGATAGGGCTGCCACAATTGGTCACCATAATTAAATATGTTAATTCGATGTATTCGTTTTTTTCATTTTTTCAAAAACTTCACTTCGTTGTAACACATCTGTGTGTTCAACATCCCAACAGCTGTGGTGAATTGAGTTAACACAGACTGCCAAACCTGTTCAAACTATTTAACATTGATCACGTTAGCCTGACTTTATATTATTTTGCAAGCTAGCTCTACCAGGCATTTAAGTTGGCAAAGTAATAAAACTATATTGTCCATGTGTTGCACATTGGTTAACATGACTTTCATAGTATTGTGCTGCAGAAATAACGTTATCTCGACAGTCCCTGAGAATTATGGGTGCCTTCCGTTAAATAAACGTGATGGTAGATGATGAGGACACTGACAGAGACTGACAGTATTTTAGATCACGTTAGTTTCTGTCAATTTTTATTAATATAATTGAATGAAATTCATGAATGTTTATCAGTCTTTATAAGCACACCTATCACACCATATTAATCATGAAAAGCACGGTTTTAAACTTCTGTACTGAAACTTTTGACTTATATACAGCCCAGTCAGTGTAAGTGATATTTTCTAAATATATGATCAAAGTTCCAAACGTAAGTGAAATTATATAAAAATGCTCCCCGCATGTCAAAAAACAGATTCCTGAAGGTAACCTGTCCTTTCATTTTCTCAAGAAATTTGATGTATTGTTTTCTTCATAGCCGATTCATATGTTGAATAACTTGAATGAGTTGGTGAGTAGGGAAATGACCATGTGCAAAGCGAAAATGTT